GCTTGATTCCGTGGTGGAAAATGCCTCGTTCCAGAAGATGAAGGAGAACAAAATGTTGCAGCCATCCCAGTTGCCAGAGCGATTTTTTAAACCTATGAAAGGGATTATGTTTAGGAAAGGTAAAACAGAGCTTCCCTGGAAGGCAGGAAAAATCTCCACTGGATTGAGGTTGGCCATATTTCCCCCATGGCCAGGCAGAATGGAAGGAAAGAGGCTGGAGGGCTGACTGGTGTGGGACTGTGCTGTGGAAGAGGGAGGCTTCAGCATATCCGTGTTGGGGCCCCACCACAGGCTTCGGGCAGCACTGAGAGGACATTGCTTTCCACCATGACTTTGGGCTGGAGGGCTGCTGAGGGAGTAATACACATCCGTCTCCACTCAGCACTCCTTGGCTGCTCCCTGCGTGCTGCTCACTCAGACCTTGTGCAGTGCAGGGTGAAGTTTATTCAAGGGGGAGGCATTCTGTGTCTGCTCCACACTGATGTTTCCCGCTCTCTCGTGTGGCGTTCCAGGGATCTGTGGGGACTGGAAGAACCACCTGACGGTGGCACAGAGCGAGCACTTTGACCACGTCTATCGAGAGAAGATGCAGGGTGTGGGTCTCACCTTCCCGTGGGACTGAAGAAGGACAGACCGTTGCTTGTGCTGTTCTGTGATCTTCCTCCTTGTATCTCCCATACCTCAAATTGTATCTAGCACATGATCAAGGGGTATAGTTCAGGATGGTTATTTCTATAGAGTTGTATCAGGCATGGAATACATATCCAATGTACAATTTCAAGCAACTTAAGCCTTCCAAAGCAAATAAAGCAGTTTCACATGTGTAAAATTAAATAAAGCAATAAATATAAAGCAGTTTCGCATGTGTACATATTTCAAAACAAGGGAACTAATTAAAACAGCAGATATAATGTATCATTATGAATCATACAAATGCTTGGGAAAGGGGGGCAATTTTGATCCGATGCTGAGAAGATCACGATGTGGGCAACAGGAGAGCCTAATCATGAATAACATTTCATGGTTAGGGGACCACCACTACAAAGGCCCTCCTGCTTGTTTCCTCCTCCTAGCCCAGCCTTGGAGCTGGCAGTCAGAATACGGCCCTAGAGGTGGACTGTAAGGTCCAAGCAGTCTGCAGTTCGGAGAGGTGCTCCATCTGGTAATTCAGTCCCAAGCTTTGGAAAGCTTTATAAGTGAAAATCAGCTCCTTGGATTGTGCTCAGAAGGGTATCAGCTCCAAACCACTTTATGGTTCCCGTTATTAATAAGGCTGCCACGTTCGCACAATCTGTCGCTTCTACACCTGTGTGCACATGGAGTTGGATGCATGGTTTTTTTTCATTGGTATACCCACTGAAGCAATTCAAACAAAATCTATCATCCTCTTCAATGGCATGATTTCAAAGTGCCTGAGATGCCATTTCTTCATTCATGTGTATGAATTGGATCTGAAATAAACCTCCCTTCTGCTTCTCCTTTGGTTCAGGATTGTTCTCCACAATAAAAAGTCACTTTTTCCTGGAAAGAATATCACATTATCTGACTAAAACAGCAGGAATTGCAGCATCTGAAGAACATGGGAGAGCAGAAGGTGAACCATGTCTAACACTGCATGGATATATTACACTTCTCATTCAGGAGTATCCCCCAGACTTGTTGCGAGGTCAGTCCTTGCCTTCTTGCCCTCAGAAGCCACTACACTGGACCCTCTCTGCAATGCACATCTTATTGACACTTCCCAGCAGCAGGACCAAGTAGCTCTAAAAATACCCAAGTAAGCTGAAAAATAAGCTCCTGGTCATGTAAGGAGAGTTGAACCCAAACTGGGCACACCTCTAAAGAATCCTCCCCTTGCATTAATGCTGTGGGATCTACCCCCTGGGTGCTCCCACTGGTGAAGTGCTACCTGGTGCCCCTAAGGGCATGAGTCTAATGCAGCCAGTGAGTGGGAAGCCTCAGCCCTTGCACAGCTCCAGCCCCCTCGGCTGAGCTAAGATGTAGGAGACTGAGCTAATGAGCAAAGAGACACCCTGCGGCTGCCTTTCTGCCTGCTGCCTGGATGAGGAGGAGTCCTGACTGCACGTTTGGGGTAAGCGTGGGTTAGGGTTGGGAATAGCAATACCCGGTCAGAGGGCAGGCCCAGGGCCTGGAACTTGCCTACACTGGGCTGACAGAGTGACTGGTCAAGATCTCTCCGAGTGCTGTCCGATGGCATTCTGTCTGGGTGGGGAGGGTCACAATGTTCACGTAAGTGTCTACATTAAGCATCAACTGATGGTTAGGGTGAGTAAAACCAAGGTCCCTGTGCTGGCCCTCTGGCATGCAAGTCACCTAGACTGGACAGAAAGTGTGAGCAGTCAGGGAGAAAATATCAAGCGCCGACATTTCTGTATGCCTCATTTACACAAGTCCTTCACGCGATCTGCACTGGCTGATCACAGGCGGGCTGGGACAGTCTTCCCAGAATTCCAGAGGGTGAAGCTGACAGGTGGCTCCCAAAGGAGTGCAGCTGGGATAAGTCAGGTCACTCAGCCCATTTTGGGCTGAGGCCTGAGGCCAGAAATAGCCCAAGATGGCTTAGTGCAGCCTTCCCCAGCCTCGCGGCCTTCAGAGGCATTTGCACTACAACTGCCAGAATTCCCATCTGGACTGGGAATTTTGGGTGTTGCACTTGGGATTCTGACATGCATCTCAGCTCACTAGCCATGCTGAATTCCCTTTTTGTGCCTTCAGATAATGCATCTCACACCTGAGGTCAGTTGTCCTGCAGTTACTGGGAGGCCTTGGGCTTCACCCACCCTCCTTCCCCCACCCCTTTTTACTTTTTTTTAAAATACAGAGGGGGGGGGGGATCACAAAGTCTTGGCCTACATGACTTCTCCCAATGATGGAAACAGAGGAGCCCTGCCTTTTTGTGGCCTGGCTAGATCATAGTCCTTCTCGCACTCAGCAGGCAGATCTGAAGGGAGGTTGTAAGCATGCTTCTTGGGGCAACCTTGGAGCTTTTCCACGGGAGCTTTGCAAGCACATCAGATGAACACAGAAACCTCTGTGATGCACATCAGGGTGTGGGGATGTAAGTCCATGCCCAGTGTGGCCCCATTAGCACTGTGAGTGAAAGCCTCTGTGCAGATCGGCACCTCTGGATGCAAAAAGTTGTGCAGCAGAGGAAGACCCGGGCTGCCGTGTCCACTCGCTTGACTCCACTGAGGGGCCTGCTGCACCGGCTTCCTCATCTCCTTGGCCTGTTTCCTTTGCATTAATCACTAAGGGAATATTGTGACTCTGAGAACACATATGCGCATGGAAGCATTCTCTTCCCCCTTCCCATCCCCCTTTAATTCTGGCCCCAACCACTCAGGAAGCAACAGCCTGAGTGTCAATGCTCCCGGTCAACTGGCTTGTGCAGAAATGGTGGGCATGCAGGAAGAGAGAAAGAAGCGATCTGAGGCTGCAGATGGTGGACACTGTACACTACATGCTGAATTCCTTGGTGAGTAGACAAACGTTTGGGTTGTATGGGAGGGGGAGTCATGGTCCCTGTTATGAATCAGTCAACGCTTTTCTTGCTGCACTTCTTTTAAAAGCTTGATCCAACAGCTGCATAGAACCCAGGGCATCTCCTTTTCAGACTGAATGCCCTCAGTTTTCAATTGTTCATTTTTTTTATTATTTTCTCTACTAATTTAAACTAAAACAGCCATTATTCCCGAGACACTGAACATACTGAGTTGACATCTTACTCTTATTGCAATTAATAAACATATTCAACTAAAATTCCAGGCTTGATAGAAGTATGTTTCTTCCTTCTCGTTCAAAGACAAAGTCAGTCTATCCATTTTTGCACAGTCCAGAATCTTTTTTAGAATCAGCTCTTCAGTTGGTGGTTCTTCATTCCTCCAGTATTGAGCAAATACAATCCTTCCCACAGTAATTTCATGTAAAATCAAATATATACTTTGTTTGTCAAGATTATCAGGAAGGATGCCTAATAAAAACATTTCAAGTTTGAATATTAAAGGTTTTTGCAGCATTTCCTCAAGCCATTTATGTATTTTGACCCAGTACATTTTTGCCTTAGCACAAGTCCATCACATATGATTAAAAAGTACCAGATTTTTGTTTACACTTCCAACATCTATTTGACATATTTGGGAACATTTTTTCTAATCTATTCGGCAACAAGTACCATCTAAAGAACATTTTATAAAGATTTTCTTTATATGAAATTGCTAAAGTTATCTTAATCTTTCTTTCCCACAACTTTTGCCATTTCTGTAGCTCAATACTGTATCCAAAATTTTGTGCCCATGTTATCATAGTTTCCTTAACTTGTTCATCTTCCATTCTCATGTCCAAAAGAAAATCATATAATCTTTTAATCATGTTTTCATCTTATAATCCACATTTAAAAGTGAAATTGGTCTGTAGTTTTGAATCTGTGTCAAGTCCGTGTCTTTTTTCGGAATTAAAGTTACATTTGCCTTTATCCAAGTATTCTATATTTTAGTGTCTGATAATACAGCATTACATACATCCTTCAGAGGTGTACTTAAATTTCTTCAAAACATTTATAATACTCTTCTGGTAATCCATCCAGGCCAGGAGTTTTGTCATTTTTTTGTTTCTTAATCGCTTAAATTACTTCTGTCATTGTAATTTCCTCATTTAGTATGTTTTGAAATTTCTCCGGCAACTTTGGTAGATTTGCCTATTGTATATATTCATGGATTTTTTCAGTTGAAATTTCTTTGGCTTGATACAACTTTGTAAAAAAATCTTCCACTATTTTCTGTATTTATGCGCTTTGTACCTGTAGTTAGAAACATAAAAACAGAGCGAGTCAGAAGGGGCCTCCCAGGCCATCTAGTCTGACCTCCGGCACCAGGCGGCTCTGCTCATGACATGCCCACTATGTGGACGTCCAGCCTATCCTTGAACACCCGCACCGATGGGTTCTCAACCACCTCTCGTGGAAGCCCATTCCACACCCTTGGGGTCCTAACTGTCAGGAAATGCTTCCTGGCATCTAAATGGAACCTTAGTTGTCCTTCTCCATCTTTCAACTTGAATAATAATCTCTATTCTCTTTCTTTCTTTCTATCTATCTTCCTTCCTTCCTTCCTTCCTTCCTTCCTTCCTTACTTACTTACTTACTTACTTATTTATAAGCTAACCATCTCCCCGGTTTAGTAGCATTTTCGGTCCCGTTCATTTTCATTTGTTTAGCTAATTCATTTGTTTCTAGAAGATTCAATTTGTGTTTTAAAGTAGTCATCTGTATCTTGAGATCCTTTTTTGATGGCTCTTTCTTTAATTCCTGTTTGAGCTTTGTCAGCTCATCTATTAATTTAAGTCATTCCTGTTTTCTCCTTTTATTTATTTTTTCTGAATAAGTTATGATCAGTCCTCTGACATAGGCTTTGGTGGTGTCCCAAATGTTTTGTAAAGAGGTTTCTTCTACTTTATTTACTTGAAAGAAGAATTTTAGTCCCTTTGTTATTTCTTCTTTAAAATTTTTATGTTTTAATAGATATTTGTTAAATGTCCATCTAGGCATTTTTGTTATTCCTTTCCAGGGCATGGTTATAGGATTATGATCATCCCAGACATTTGTGTCTCTTTCAACTTCTAGTAAATCTGGAATTAGGTCTGGAGTTATCCTGATCATATCAATTCTAGACCATGACCTACGTTTATTCGAATCAAAAGTATATTTGGCTGTGGTTGTGTTTTTCTGTCTCCAGGTATCTATAAGTCTAAATTCCTCTAAGAAGTTAAAGAAGTACTTTGGAAGTATTCTCCTTCCTCTCTTCCCATTAGTATCACTCTTATAGTCCATTTATTTTGTCAACAATTGCATTGAAATCTCCCATTAATCTGAGAGTCTGATATTCAATTTGTAGAAATAAGGTATGCAGTTTTTGATAAAAAGCTTCTTGATGATCATTAGGTGCATAAATTGCCACCAAAAGCGCCTTCTTTAGTTTTATTGTCACCTCAACCAATAAAATTCTTCCATCTTCATCTGAAAAGATATGTTTAGGATCCAAATTTTCTTTAAGGTATAAAGCCAAACCTTTTTTCTTTGGATGAGCCGAAGATATAAATACCTTGCCAAGTTTTGAACATTCCAGAAGTTTATGATGTTGTCTTTTTATGTGTGTTTCTTGTGGACAAATTGCATCTAATTTCAATGTTTGAAGTTGAGAAAAAACTCTTTTCCCCTTAGGAGGTGAGTTTTATCCATTTATATTCACAGAAAGTAATTCAATTCTTCCTTCCATTTTGAGATCCATATTTATATATTGTGTATTTCACGCTTCTAACTTTTCTCTTTTCTTTTTGCTCTGATAACTGTTTGTCTCCTTGTTGATCTAAAATTGCTATTTCTCCTTCTTCTGGAAGGTAGGATATTTCAGCCACCGCCTTACCATTTTAAATTTTCTCCTTTTCTTCAGTCCGCTCTTCGTCTTCAAATGAACTTCTAAAATTTTCATAGCATTCTTGGGCCTTGAAGATTGAATTCAATCTAAATCTTGTAGAATTCCAAGTAAAAAAATATCCCTTCTTGTAATATCCATCTGAACATGTTTCCTTTCATCATCAACTTGGAAGTGAGGAATTAGTATTTCTTCCATCCTTCTCTAATTCTCCAAGGTATTTGTTTCAAAACAGTTACATCACGTTAGTCGTATTTTAATGGTTGATCATGTGAAATTTTAAGAACTTGGTCTCTTCTAGATCTTTTTGTAAATTTAATGTGGACTTCTCTCGGAAGTTTATGTCTTCTTACATAGCTTGAGTTTACTCTATAGACCAGGTCAATTTCTTTATCAATCTCTTCCTTTTCAAGGCCAAGAGCATCTGCTAACATAGTATTTATTAAGTCGCTTAGGTTTTCATTTCTTGCCTCTAGTATATTCTGTAGTCTTAAATAGTTAGATGCCTTTTTCATCTCCAAAATAGCAACCATAATTCCCATAGTGACTTATTTGTTTGTGTTAGCTGTTGTATTTCTTTATCCATCTTTTCAGTTTTCTTATAATATCATCAGTCTTCTTTCCCATTTCTTGTATTTTTGTTCATTCTGTACTGTTTTAAGTCAAATATCTGTAAGTTGATTATTTATGTCCGCAACATGACTATCCAATTTATCCAGTCTTTCATTTTGTTCCGAAGCCAATTTTTACATGGCTTTTTTAATGGACTCTTGCATTGCTGAATGCAATGACTTTATTGAATAGACCCTTGCACTACCGAAAGTGTTATGTGTAAGTCCTTTTGAAATTTTTCCTGTTGAATCGTCAAATCCAAAGGTTTTGGTTGGTGTGTTGAACTTTGACTCGCGGACATGGGTGCAGATGCTGATGAATAGGTTTTTTCATGGTGAAAAAAGAACATTTATTAAAACAACCTGTTATAAAGCAAAATAGCCACAAGAGTCACGAAGTTTTTAGGTATTCAAAATGCCTGTTACTGGGGAAAACAGCCACATGATGGCAGCAAAGGGCTATTTGTTGTAACAATCAGAGTAGTTTCATTTTCATGCACAGTATCGGAAATGATCAGATCGCCATGCCATTTGAAAGAGAAATGTAAAGAAGCAAAAAGAACTTTTTCTACAGATTGATGTACAGGAAGTTTCAAATTTTATTTTTTTCCCTTGGGGAGATTAAAAAGAAAAAAAGCTCTTCTTTTCCAGTTCTCAAACTTCCCCAGTCTCGATTAATCTCCCCAGTTCTGTTGCCTCTTAGGCAACACAGGGAGGGGGGGATTCTTCTCCTCTGTCAAAAGGGGCATTTTGTCTAGTTTGGTTATTGTTCCAAGAGTTTCTTTTAAGGACAATATTTTAAAGTGGGTATTTGCTCAACCAGCAGGTCTGATGTCCAATTTTATTTTTTTTTTTCTTCACTGTTTAACCAGTGCTGACAGCTAGAGAGGTGCAGCACCCCTCTTGTTCCATTCACTGAGAATCCATGAGTTTCCCCCAGTGGATGGGGGGGGGCTGTCACCCCCCCCCACACACAAACCATAGGTGGCTCACTCTTCTGCTCCCAGCCCCTCCAGGGCTCAGATGAACTTCCCAAAGCCCAATGGAGCACAGATTTCTGTGCGAAGATTGGCACTTCCATTCTTTGTTGCTGATATCACTGTGATGGCAACCAGAAGGCCTGAATGCCCTCACTTCTGAGTAGCTTTTCTTGAATTCTGAGGAGATTTTAATCTTCAAATATTGTTCTTCAATTTTCACCTCTATGACATAGCTCTGAAATTCCATTTTCAAGGTGTCAGACTGGGAGCCAGTCTATAACCAATTCATGATGCATGTTTTGCTGGCTGCAGGAAACAAACAACAAAAATTCTGACAGGTGTTGCAGTGTACCTCTCTCTCTGCTTCTCTCTCTTTTCCATATGCAGAGATTTCCCTGCAATGTCATCACTGACGTATTTCACCCACAAAGGCACCCCTTTCTTAATAGATGAACACTCAGTGGAAACACTCAGCTTTGTGGAGAATGAATTCCAGCTCCTGGATGACGATACAGTGGTGGTCACTTACCCCAAGTCAGGTCAGTGGTGCTTCTATATCCCTAAGGAGAATCCTCCTAACTGAACTGTAAGTTTTTGCTTCTGGATGGTACTTCAATTCTCTTCAAGTGAAATGCAGGATGGATGCCGATCAATACAATAATTTATCTCCTTACCACTGTTGCTGAGCCGCAAAACAAACTATTTCAGGAATGTCATTCTATAGACCCATGCTCTATATTCAGTGTAGCTCACTCGGTCTGGATGTGGACCTTAGAAGAGAGGATAAGGCAGCTCGTATGGTTTATTGTGAACTTTGCACCCAGTCTAGGAGAAAGGCACTGCCCTTCTGCAAAGATCCTGGCAGCACCTCCACCTCTCTTCCTCATAGGGAGGGGGACAATCTCGGCACGGCCAAGAGCTCCTTTCTGAATATCTCTTGCAGCGAGGAGGAAACTGTGCCAGCCTCCCCTCTGTGCTGCCCCACACTTGCTGAGAGCTCAGAAGGGGCCTATTCCAGAGGGTTCTAGGCATCCACATGGATTTTGCCCTCACACGATTTCCAGGAGTGCCAGATGATCAATAGCTATCTGGGAGTGCGGGCAGCTGTATAGTGTGGCCCATTTCCCCTTTGCTCGGTGATTTCCAGCTGTACCACTAGCTTGGGGAGGCCTTTGCTGCTCAGGGCACTTCTCACTGGCCACGAATAGAGTTTAATCAGATCAAACAGCAGAAAGCACAGGGTAATCTTCCTGCTCATAGTCTCTGCTACCGCCCGACTCCTGGAGTTTGCATCAAGGAGAATTGTGCCACACCTGCTACCACACCTTGTTTAGTCAATGCAGGAGGAAAGACCACTGCATGGACCCGAGAGCTGCCCAAGAATTGCCATGGTGCAAATTCGAAGTAGCTTTCATCTTTGGAGCAGGATGAGGCTGTGGTGATGTTAACAAAACTGAGACAGATCTTGTGGTGGGGGTAAAGGGAAGAGAGTTCTTGGATCATGCTCTCTTCTTCCTGGAGTTCATGGCCATGCAACTAAGCACCCGGGGAGTTTCTCTGGCTTTCTTTCAGAGGGAGGCATGCAAAGAATCCTGGGATAACCTTGCAGGGTCTCACTTTGCGCATCAACAAGAATGCAACTTCCATGTTGCATCACACAGGAAGACAAACATGTAATAAGTAGCTTGACCCCCTGTTCAGATCATCACTCACTCCTGCCCACACCCTGCCCACCCCAGGAAGGATGTGCTCATGCAAATGTGGCAGTGTTCAGCTGGTCATAAATGTGGGGCATCCAGGCCTTGAAGCATTTTTGGTAGCTACGAGTAGTTTACAGAAATGTATTCTGCCTAGAAAGAATCACATTGTCTTGCAAGGGGCTGGTAATATTTGTGGGCAGTGCAAGTGAGAAGTGGAAGGTGATTCCACGACCAGGAGAATAGGGAGCTCTGTGACGTGTTTTTCCTCCCTCAGGCACCTTTTGGATGCAAGAGATCTTGGGCTTGATCCGGCATGATGGAGACCCCTCAAGGGTCCAGAATCTGGGCCTACCGCAGCGGCCCCCATGGATTGAGCATGAGTATTGCTTGAAGCGTGCCTTGGCACTTCCTCCACCCAGGCTGCTATCCAGTCACCTGCCGTTTCAGCTCTTCCCTAAGTCCTTCCTCCACTCCAAAGCGAAGGTAGGAGAGGAACCATTTGCACTTGAAGTCCACCTGCACCTTTCAGTAGGCTGCAAAATGTAGGAAAGAAATTCTCATTAAATACTCAAGCATGGGCTAGATTAGAGAAATTCTTCTGAATGGTCGTTTAGATCTCCGACAAACACAATGTCGACAAACACAATGTTTCTATTCTTAAAAGCATATGCCTGCATACGCATAAAAATCGGCTCGATCAACTCACTCACATGAGCAGGTATGTCAGTTTTCCAGCTCTAGAAGTTTTATGTAAGAAGCCAAAGGAGTGATCCTATGGCTCTGAGACCGTGCTTGGGTGGACACAGGATCCTTTCTGGACTGGAGACAGCAGTCTGAAGTTGCAAAAGGAAATCAGTCCCCCACTCCCTCGCAGCTGCCATGGGGGGTGGGGACACATTGACTACCTCCCGAGGAACAGTGGAAAGGGGGCATTGGGAGGGGACGGCATGTTGCAGAGGCTTCCCTTCCTCCTCCACAGTCCCTCGACTGGATGGCCAAAAACGCCTATCCGGCAGAAATCCCGAGCACACGGACTGGGGAGACAAAAGCCACCTCCGTCACTCCGTCCGCGTTGCACTGCATGATCCTCCAGCAAGATGTTTTTCTCCAAGAGGAGCAGGACCGGGGAAAGGAGGGTTCTCCACATCAGAAGGAACGAGGGGAGGCATGGCGGGTGGAGGGGGGGTCCCTAACTGAAGGCATGGGAGGCCTCAGGGGCTGCTGGTGTGTGAACTGGCAGTCAGCAAGTTGCCAGTAAAGACATGGACATGCAAGGCGAGCAGGATTCAGATTCTCATAGAACCAGAACAGCATTAAGAATTCCAGTAATCCTCCCTGAGTTTTAGTACGCAAAATGGCACTTTGCTGTCCATGGGTTGCCTCATATCTTGGTTGCTGCTTAGCCAGGGGCGAAGATGGGCTTGTGATGCAGGTCTTTCTCTATCACCTTAGCTTTGGAGCACTGAAAAGACTTAGGGAAGAGCTGAAATGGCAGATGGGAAGCCATCAATCTGGGCGGAGGGTATCCTGTGGCCATCTTCAGGCCATAGGTGGTCTCAAGCCATGGTGTCCGTTCCCAGAGTAACACTATGAACCCATGAGGGGTCCCCTTTGTGCTGGATCAAGCCCGAGATCTCCTGCATCCAGGTGGTAGCTGGGAGTCCAATAGTCATAGGGTTGCTTCTTTCCCAAAACCTTTTCTTCTGCTATGCGCCCCTTTCACACACCCATCATCCCATGGCCTGGCATGACCGGTAGAATGGAAAGAAGTTTTGGTAATTAGTTAATACCTACTGAAAACGCAACAATAAGTCATGAGCAATTGAACAAGGTCATGAATGCTGGTAGGGGGCCAGAAAAGGGTGGGAAGGCTCATCTTTTCTTCCTAGTGCACTTGCAATCAGTATGCAGAGATGGCTCTCTTGAATAACACTCCCAGTGATATGATCAAAGCATCCCTGGCATTTCTATTGGGCTCTCTAATATTCACTGGCTTCCCATTGAAGTCCAGGCCCAATTCAAGGAGTTGGTGATGACCTATAAAGCCCTAAACGGCTTGGATCCTGGTTACCTGAAGGAGCGCTTACGTCCATATACGCCTGCCCACCCCTTGAGATCTGCGGGAGAGGCCCTTCTCCGGGAACCCTCCGTGACAGAAATTAGGAGGATAGGTACCCGGAGGAGGGCTTTCTCTGCGGTGGCGCCCAATCTATGGAATATGCTCCCCAGAGAGGTCCACCTGGCACCGTCGTTATTTGTTTTTTGGCGCCAGGCGAAGACCTTTTTATTTAAGCGTCATTTTAATTGTTAATATTATTCGCTTATTTTATCTGGCCAGGGCGACTTATTTTATATTGTTATCTTTTGTATTTTAATTTATGTTGTGAGCCTCCCCGAGGCTTTGGCGAATGGGGCGGCATAGAAATGTCTTAATAAATAAATAAATAAATAAATAAATAAATATTGGTATCTCATGATTAATTGCAGATTAACACCACCCATTAGAGCTTGGCAATCATGTGAATGTTCATGGAATACAGGAAAGGAGATACAATTGTTCAAGGATTCTCTTCTTTCCCCCACAACATGCCTGACCTCTGAATATCACGTGTGGAGAAACAGAAGCAGGAGTGTGATACTGCCCTCATGTGTTTCCCAGGTGAAACCAGTTGACTTGCATGGGGGGAAATGCTGCCCTGGATAGCCTTGTGTCTCGTCTCTCAAGGAAGAGCTCAGTCCATGGGTGCATAAGAAGAGCGTAAGAAGAGGCTACTGCCCCCGCCCCACCCTGGCCAGCCACGTGCTGCCATGGGATGCCCATGAGTGACAACAGCTCCCACTCTTGTCTGCCCGCAGAATGCCTCTGATGGTAGCAATACGACTGTGTCGGCATGACTAGTAGCCACTGGAAGTGTTAAAAGAGTACCCACCATGAACTCGCGGAATCGGTTTTCTAGGCCATATCAAGCATAACAGGTGCAAACATGGAATGGGATGGAGGAAGGGGCACCTTTAAAATAGGTGCAGTAATGCACCTCATTGTCTAAGCCAAGGCCCCTGGACCGCTGGGTCCAGGGATGTAATGGCATCACTGACCTGACTTGGGATAAGTGACGGTGAGTACATCATCATCCAACAGTTGGAACTGGCTCTCCAGAAAGTTGATTGTTTCAGCCGTATGCTCCACCTTGGGGATGGGGATCCCCTTGTGGGTGAAATACATCTCAGATGACATTGAAAAGCTGTATGTATGGAAGGAAAAGGGAGAGGTTATTCTGCAACATTCCTACTGTGTTTCAAGATGCTTTCCCCTGTGAATTGAGAGCCACTGTGATGCAGTTGTTCAGAGCATGGGACTGGGACTCACCAGGTCTGGGTTCCAGTCCCGACTCAGCCATGGAGCCCAAAGGGCAACTTGGGCCAGTCACAGACTCTCAGCCCAACCTACCTCACAGGGTTGTTGTTGTGGGGATAGGACTGAGAGCAGGAAGAATAGAATGATGCAAGCAACTTTGAGTTCTTCAAAGAAGAAAAAAGTCAGGAAATAAAGAGGTAAATTGGAATATGAAATCAGTATAGACATGAAAATGTCAGTTCCCCAAGTATCACTGCTATTCTGGAAGAAACTTGGATCTTTCCAGGAATAAAGAAGGTATATACCATCTCTGGGAAGAATTATTCTCCCTCTGCACAACGGCATATCTGCTGGAGCTTCAAATATATTTGCTTCATGCCTGCCTATCATGGAGATGTTTCCTACCTTGATTGCATGGTGCAGGGTAAAACTAACCCCTCCAATAAGGAAAGGAATGGCAGATGTCACCATGCATGTCATGGCTCCTCTTATGTATAACGCTTCTGCCATTCCCCTTAAAAATCCTCACCTAGAATTCACTCTGGAAACATCTCAGGATACCTGCTGAAGGTTCGAAGGGGGTGCAGTTCCTGCTTATCCAAGAGAGACCCCTTTCCTTCACTGCATAGCGGAGGATAGACAGGGACCTCAGTGGGCACAGAGAATATTTACCTCCTGCAAAGGTAAAGTGCTCAGCTCAGGCCACTGGGAAATTCTTCCCTGATCTGTAAAAGGGAATGGTCCAAACTCAAGAGAAGGGGCAGCCATTAAGAGCCAAAGCTACCCTGCTCCCTCTGCACCCTCTCAGGCTCCACAAATTGGCCCTCGCCCTACAACGTTTGAGTTGGGATTTACAGGACTCATCCACAAAGCCCCAGGTGTGGTGAGCACACCTGTGAGCTGGGTGTGATGTGCAGTTCAGGGGCTGCAGAACTTGTTCCATGCAAGCTTCAGAAATGAGAGCATCGGAGAGCAGATAATGGATATACTACAGTCTGAGGGATTGTGAAGAAGGGCAAGCCTCATTCATCTCCACAAGCTCTCCTCTATATCCCTAAATGGTTGGCCACTCACCTCAAATTCACCTTTGCTTCAGTGCCTCTACCATCTGCTGCCTCCCTCAACTTGGCTGCCTCTTTCTGGGGACTGGGATCTCTTATAGGAGCATGTCAGCGTTCCGCAAGAGGGCTGAGCAAGTCAGCTCTTGCCTGCTTGCTCAGAATGAGCCTTCAGGCTTCTGAACTGCATCTCAGATCACTAGAGATGCTGAATTCCCATTTTCTGCCTTCAGAGGATGCATCTCCCACCTGAGTTCAGTCATCTTGTGGTTACTGGGAGACCTTGGGCTTCACCCACCCTCTTTTGATCAAAATCTGTGGTGAAACATACCATCTCCTTCTCCCCCATTAGATCCTTTATGATTTATTCCTGAAGTTGCTTTTAAAAGGACACTTTCATATTGCATTGGGCTACCAATGGTGACCGGTCAAGATGGAGAGGCATTACCTCTGAAATGAGAGGCACCATGGCTCCTCACACGTTTCTGGGAGACACAGAAACCTGATTGCTCTGCTGTCTTCCTGTGTGCTTCACAGGTGATAACCCTCCCTTCTTTGACAGTTCAATCTGAATGTGACTATCTATTTGGCCCCGCCTATACTGATGGTGCTTTATGAAGGAAACGGGTTACAGGTCCCTTGGAGTCTCAACACTGAGGAAGAAAATTGCACCTTGTCAAGTGCACAGTCAGTTCTCAGCACTGGGAAGTGCTGTTTCCTCCAGCACTTAGTAAGAAAATGTGGGAGCACTGGTGGCTCCATCTTCCTGAAGAAAGTTCCAGTAGCAGAGGAAGCATCCCTCTAAACACCAGTTTCGGGGGACTGTGAGCAGAAAGCTGACACTGCACCCAAATCCTTTCATAGGCTTCCCTCAGAATCTAGTAGCCCACTGTGGAAACAGAGTTCTGAACTGGATAGAACTTTGGCCTGATCAGACAAGATTGTTCTTATGTTTACATAGCACATTCTGCCACCTATTTAATCTTCTTCAAGTTCTTGTACAAGCAAACATAGATAACTGTACGTACAGTAGCAGCCAGAAGTTGACCTAATCCAGGCCCTTCCAACCTTGTTCCGTACACAATCTTGGTTTGCCTTCTCAGAAATTCACTGAAGTGAGGCAATTTGGGCTACAAGTTTGGACTAAGTTTTGGAACAGTGGATTGAGGCTGCTCTTGGCCTGAATAGTCCCTTGGAACATCCTCCACCTAAACTGCTAAGCAGTCACCTGCCAGCTCTTCCCAAAGTCCTTTCTGCCCTCCAAAGCTAAGGTAACAGAGGGGCGGTTCTCACCTGAACCCCGCCTCCATCTTCTGCTGTGTGCAAGGGGGATTCTGGGCTTTCACAGTGCTTTAATAAGAAGGAGGCATGTTGTGTTTCAAAGCACGGGAAGGGATACAGGAATTCTTCTTAGTGGTTCTTCTGATCCCAGGAGAACTGGTACACCCCAGCTCCTCCTGCATGCTCAGTCGGTGTCCTCACTGGGGGCTTGGTGGCTACCCGCTTCACAGTTCAGCAAGCCATGATGCCTGCCATCCACTCAGTTTAGTCAGCCACATGTCTCTCTGAGAAACTGAAAACTGAAGCAAAATGTCCTGGAAAGCCAAGATTAGGCAACATGGAGTCATACAACTTTGTTGAAGGGGCTTTCAGGAGTTATTTACTCTAAGTCTATACCAGATAATGAAATTTGTTCTTTCCACACTGTTGCATGCAAAAATTGGCATTGAAAGAATTCATCTGAAAGCTCAAAATGCTTCTTCCAATTTCCACATATTACTCAATTTGCCTCATGTCTATACTTTTGTCGTATGCACTTATCCCTAATATGGGGATTCTGCATGCTCTTTTATGGCTTTGTCTTCCAGTTGCCTTTGGTTCCTGGTCTGACCATGTGAAAAACTGGCTGGAACTGAAGGACAGACCCAACTTCTTCTATATCACCTATGAGGAGATGCTGGCAGTATGGTTCAGTATTGGGTCATGTTCACCCACGTATATCTAGCTTAGCCTGTTCCTTGTTATCACTCCAAGTGGAAGGTGTTTTTTTTTAATTAAATGTTATGTTAGGTGCAGAGGAGTTCTAAGGGGTTCTAGGAAGCCAAGAAGTTGCCAGACAAGACCACTAATTGTCCTTCAATCAAACATTACTTTTATAACTTGGCCAGCCAACTGGCTACAGGAAACCCAATAGGCAGGCCATGAGTACAGGAACCACATACAGTCCATGTTCCCCTGCAACTGGTGCATAGAGGAATCTTGTCTCTGATGCTGAATGTAGCGTGTAGCCTTCAGAAATAGTGGTAGCCTTATTCCTCATGAACTTGTAGACCCCTAGCTCAGCTATTTAAATAGGTGGTGGTCGGTACATCAAATCGTTATTTTATTTACTTATTAATTTAAAACATTTTTATGCCGCCCCCATCGCAACAAAGGCTTGGGGCAGCTCACAGCAAAATCAAAATATACAACTATAACAATTATACAACAAAAATATTAAAACCAGGTGCATCTCGGCTTAAAAGATTTAAAATCCTATAAATATCAATAAATTAACAATTAAAATAAGTTTTAAATAAAAAGGTCTTAGCCTGGTGCCGAAAAACAAATAACGACAGTGCCAGGCGGACCTCTCTGGGGAGCGCATTCCATAGATGGGGAGCCACCACAGAGAAAGCCCTCCTTCGGGTACTCACCCTCCTAATATCATTCACAGAGGGTTCCCAGAGAAGGGCATCTGTTGCTGATCAAAAGGGGTGGGAGGGCATATATGGACGCAAGCATTCCTTTAGATACCCAGGACTCAAGCCATGGAGGGCTTTATAGGTCATAACCAACACCTTGAATTGGGCCCGGACTTCAATCGGGAGCCAGTGGAGCTGATGGAGAACTGGGGTTATATGAGAAAAACGCCCAGTTCCCGTCAGCCCCCGTTATCAATTCCTTAGTTCAACTGTATTTCTGCTAGGCTGAGTTTCTAAGTCAAGGTGCCCAGTACATATGAGAGAACATTCTCAGCAGAACACTAACTTTGGGATATTTCAGATCAGGTGTCTGCACCAAGTTCTACATTTCACTGCTCAGAAGGCAGATGTTTCCTTGTCTTCTGAAATTATGTTGATACAAGAGGGAAGGCAAGTTTCTGATTCTGCTCTTGTCTTTCTGGAATGTCCATGCAGCAATGGATGGGAGATTAACACACACATGGCAGAGAGTCTGTCAAATTTATTTAACCATCTACACGTATGCTCAATGAAGAGTGTATCCCCATGTGTGGGACAGACTGAACATCCACATTCTCATCTTCATCACTTCAGTCCTCACCAGGACCTGTGAGGCAGCGTGGAGATGATTTGCCACTTCCTTGGGAAAGAGCTGAACAGCCAGCAAGTGGACTCTGTGGTGGAAAATGCCTCCTTTCACAAGATGAAGGACAATAAGATGTCCAACTTCTCCCAGGTGCCGGACACATATGCTGACCACAAGAAGGGATGCTTCATGTGGAAATGGAACTGCCTGGGTATCAGCTGTTGGTAGGAGTCCAATTTCTGGAATTCAGCTGAGAGTCCCTGGCCAAAAGAGAAGGGAGGCAGGAAGGGATGTGCCACTGGATTGAGTTTGCTCATGTTCATCTCTCTGAAGCAGAATACATGGTCAAGGTTGACATCTTTCTGCTCCAGGGGAAAAGATAGGAGACTCTGCCTATTCCGTGTCTAACTAGACCTGCAGCAGAATCTGACCTGATTGCTGGCAAGTGGACAGTGTCAGCACCATGCCTGAGGATGGCAGCCAAGCTGCAGAGGTCAAAGGTCACAATTTAATGAAGCTCTCCCATTCATATACCACCTTTCTCACAAGAGAATATCAGAAGGGTTCTGGTTTCTCATTTGTGTGTGCATTCAACCTCTTTGTGGTTCCAACTCTCTCTTGTAGTGTTCCAGGGATCTCTGGGGACTGGAAGAACCACCCAAGAGTGGAGCAGAGTGAACATTTTGACCCACTTTCATGGATTGCTACCTTGTCGTGGCAAAGGGGCTTGCGTAGCTCAATGAAGCTATGAGCTATGCCGTGCAGGGTCACCCAAGACAGACAGGTCATAGCAGAGAGCTCTGACAAAACGTGATCCACTGGAGAAGGAAATGGCAACACACTCCAGTATCTTTGCCATGAAAACCCCACAGAGAGTGCCAAAAGGCAAAAAGATATGATGCCAGAAGATGAGCCCCTCAGGTCGGAAGGGGTCCAATATGCTACTGGGAAAGAGCAGAGGGCTAGTACTAGTAGCGCCAGAAAGAATGAAGCGACTGGGTCAAAGCCAAAAGGACATTCAGTTGCTGATGTATCTGGTGGTGAAAGGAGATCCTGATGTTGCAAAGATCTATACTCCATAGGAACCTGGAATGTAAGATCCATGAATCAAGGCAAAATGAATGTGGTCAAACAAGAGATGACAAGACTAAACATCGACATTTTAGGAATCAGTGAACTAAAATGGACAAGAATGGGTGGATTTAATGCAGATGACCATCAGGTATACTACTGTGGGCAAGAATTCCTAAGAAGAAATGGAGTAGCCTTCATAGTCAATAAAAGAGTAGGAAAAGCAGTACTGGGATACAATCTCCAAAATGACAGAATGTTCTCAGTTCGAATCCAAGGAAAACCATTCAACAGCACAATAGTCCAAGTCTATACCCCAACCACTGGTCCTGAAGAGGCTGAAGTTGACCAGTTCTATGAAGGCCTACAACACCTTCTAGAATTAACACCCAAAAATGATGTCCTTATCATCATGGGAGATTGGAATGCTAAAGTAGGAAGCCAAAAGATAACTGGAATAACAGGCAAGTTTGGCCTTGGAGTACAAAATGAAGCAGGACACAGGCTGGTAGAATTTTGTCAAGAGAATACGATGGTCATAGC